TCAAAGAATATTAATAAGAATCCTTGCATTTGACATAGTGCCTTATCACGTCTTCGAGACATCTCAAAGCGTCTTACAGGATATACTGTAAAGCGAATTGACTGTATATTTTGGTGAGACCCAGCAGCCAATTGCACACAGCAGACGTGGATTGAAGTGACCAATTTTTTTTGAAGGAATTATTACCCCCGGAAAAGGGATCTGCCAATCAACGAGCAACCAGATTCCTACTTACTGCTAGGTAAACAGAGGCGTGTGGTGTAAGAAAACCTGCCCAACATTTCGCCCTGCCAGGAATCGAACCCAGGTCTCTCCTTTGTGAGGCTCTAACCACTGAGCTACAGGACTCCTATCCTACTGTAGCTAGTGCAGGTTTAAGGAGATTCTGCGTAACACCTCCCTCGCCCTTAGGAGGATAATCACTGATTTTATACATATACATATATCAACCTGTCCGTGCCCTCCACTCAGTAGGCTGTTGCCTACTCCACGTCCCCCGCCCAGCCCGCCCCGTAATCAGCAGTCGGGCTTTTGGCCTCTCTGCCCCCACTCTTTGGAACTCCATCCCACATTCCCTTTGCCTCGCTCCCTTCCTTGGCTCCTTCAAGGCACGTGTCAAGACCCCTCCACTTCAACCCAGCTTCGGCTGCCCTCCTACACCCCCTGCCCTCCACCCTACCTGATCCCAACGACCCCCTGCTCGCATCCAAATCCCTGACTGTCCAGTACCTTGGGACATCCTCCTGACGTGAAAGGCGCAGTACAAATGTAATTTTGTATTGTATTATTTATTATCTATATATATATATATATAAAATCTTATATATTCCAGGTCAACCTTTCCATCAAATGGAAGCTCAATTGAATTGCAGTCCCAGATTCAACCATTTGTCAAGTCATAACATTACCATTTGCAATCCTGCTGGTCGTATTGGTACCCAGGACGGGACAGCTGAGAACTTATTATTTTGGCGAAACCGGGCAGCCAATTGTGCACACCAGTCGTGGATTGAAGTGAACAATTTTAAATTTTTAAGGAATTATTATCCCCGGAAAAGGGATCCACTATAATTTTATCCTAAATCTTGTGAATAATCTAGGTTATGAAGGAGAACAAAGAAAAGACACGTATGTGAATTGGCAAGCTTCCATCCTGACATCCAATAATTTGTCAGATTTTAGCAATTATCCTTATTCCTAAACTTTGCCAGAAAATCTATCTCTGAACCATGCATCCAAACTGGGGGCTTACATTGAAATTCAGTTGTATTTTAGTTGCATTAAGCAAGATCAAATGAAAAAGACCCTTTAGCCCATCTGATCACAACCTTCCAAAATTCCCACCCTTTGACCCTCCCATAACAATATCATTTTTAAATCAGTCTTTAGAAATCAAACATTAAAGTGTGACGTTCAGCAAGCATTTTTTTTTAGGCTGCCCTCTCAAAGGCAGGTCCCAGGTGGTGAATCTCAAGTATCCTGTGTCTGACCTTCCCAATTGTATCCTTTGGCTATGAATGGTCAGTAGGAGAGGGGGTTGATTAGTATGGAGTTATCAGAATAACTGTAGTTTCCTCTATTCAGCTGTTGTGGATAATCTTGGCCATGTGGCCAATAGTGAAGTTGATCAACCCCATTCACAGATCTACTCTAATTGAGGAGATGGTCTGGGAATGCGAGACTTGTTTTTGTGTAGATAAAAATGAGCCACTCCGTGATAAAATAAAGTGGAACCACATCCCATTCACTAAATAATAATAATAATAATCCTTGCATTTGATATAGTGCTTTTCACGTCGGGAGGACGTCCCAAAGCGCTTCACAGAACACACTGTAAAGTGAATTGACTGTATATTTGTGGGCGAACGCGGCAGCAAATTGCGCACAGCAATGTCCCACAAACAGTCATAGATTGAAAGTGACCAATTTATTATTGTTTTGTTTTGGAGGGATTATTATTAGGCTCTGTGTGGAGTAAGGAAACTTGCCCAAGGTTTCGCCCTGCCTGGAATTGAACTCAGGTCTCTCACTTGCAAAGCGAGTGCTCTAACCACTGAGCTACAGGACTCCACGAAGTAACCAGTCAATAAAAAATGGATTTCAACAAAGCTAATTAAATACATCTGCAGGGCACTTGAATAAAAATTTGATAGTGCTTTCAATGGCAATGAGGTTTTAGCTAGTTTAGACCCCAGCAGTATCCCAACACGCACTCTGGGTTCCCCAAGCCTTGGCGGTTGCCAACCTGCGCCTAATACTTTCTGGATTTAGGTAATAAGGCGCTATTTCAAATGCAAGGATTTTTATTATAATATCCTCCAGGGAGAGAGTGTGCATTCCATTCCAACAATCTATCTCTGGAATTTCCATGTGCAGGTGGGATGCAGGGAACCTAGTGTGGTTTGGCAATTCTTAAGCACGGTGATGGGATTTCGCATGTGTCGACACCTGGCTGATCAAAAAAAAAGTAAAAATTGAAACAAATCATTTAAATTGGTGTAAATTACATGCTGGGCATTTTTAATATTGTGTTCGTTGCCTTCAAAGGAGTTGAACTATTTCTTATTGAAATAAGAAGTATGATACATATGATATATTTTTGAAGCGCTGAGATATATGTAGATGATTTACATGCCAGTAGGCTATTTGACCAAAATTATAAGCACAGGAAGAAAAGTCACGGTTTCAAAGTTGTTCTACACTCCACATTAAATCTTTTGCACTGCCGGAAACACGGTTATGGCCTGTGAAGGGTAAACAATGTAAACTTAAGGATGAATGAGTAACCTGTAGATTTGCTGATTTATTGGAAGGAGGGTGGAACATTTAAAGCAAAATGTTTCTCTGGATATCAGGTGAGTTAGTATTAAGGGTAGGTAGATTTCACAGGAACTTTCTTGTGATATTCTTATCATCTGTACCCTCAGATTACTGATTTACAGACCAGTGTAAATAACAATGCTTGCATTTGACATAGCCCTTATCACATCATTGAGATGTCTCCAAGTGTTTCACAGAATATACTGTAAAGTGTAGAGACTGTGCTTTGTGGGCGAAACGCAGCAACCAATTGCACACAGAAGCGCCCCACAAACAGTCATGGATTAGGTGACCATATTTTTTGGAAGAATTATTACCTCTGGAAAAGGGATCTGCTAATCGCCTAGCAACCGGGTTCCTACTTTCTGTTAGGTAAACAGAGGCATGTGGAGTAAGGAAACTTGCCCCACATTTCGCACTGCCCGCAAAGTGTGTGTGTGTGGAGTAAGGAAACTTGCCTAAGGTTTCACCCTGCCCGGGAATCAAAACCAGGTCCTCTCGCTTGCTTGCGAGGTGAGTGCGCTAACCACTGCAACACACTATTATTATTATGGACAATATTGAAGATCCCAAAAAGAATAGGGAGTTTCCCCTGGTGTCCTGGCCAACAATTTCCCTGGATAAAATTGGTCATTCACTTAGAGACGTTGGTCTTTCACTTGTTAGGGGAAAGACCAAAGTCCATCTTGTTCGCCTTCCACCATCCTGGCAGTCACTTGACATGTTATGTCCCAAACTATATACTGTATCCCGAGATATTATTTTCTAGCAGAAATCGATCTAATTTGTTCTTGAAACAAACCACATTTTCTGCTTCCACCATCTCCCGAAGAGCCTGTTTTTTTACTACTCGCTCCCTGAAGTAGTATTTCTGCATATTTGTTCTGAATTAACCCCTCTTCAATTGCAGGCCATGTCCTCTGGTTCTATTGTTCAGTACAATTAAAATAGCTCGTCATGGGCTATATTACCTAGTCCCTTCAAAATTCTCGACTCTCTTCCCCCTTCTCGCTCCCTCCCATCCCTCCCCTCACCCTGACCATTTCCCCCCTCCTCGCTCCCTCCCCTCCCCTCACCCTGACCATTTCCCCCCTGCTCAGGTCATGACCCAACTGTGCAGCGCCTTGGGACGTCCTCCTGACGTGAAAGGCGCTTTATAAATGGAATCTTGTTGTTGTTGTTGTTGTTGTAAAGACCATATCATCCCGCCAACCTTCTCTTCTCCAACGTGAACTGGCCCAGTTTACCAATAGTTCAGTCCCTCCTTTGTATCCTCTCAATCTCTGCAATATCCTTCTTATATTTTTATCTTCAGTATTCCAAGTGCGGTCATACTAGTGATTTATAAAGTGGCAGGATTACCCCACTATTTTGGCTCAATATTGCCCTTTCAATACAATCCAGCATCTGGTTTACCTTATTCACTGATACCGAGCACTGTTGCGATAGCTTCAATTTATTGTCAATCAGAACACATCAAGAGGCGAAAAACTTTGCATTTCCTGCTTTCTTTATTTTCAGTACCAGCCTTTCAAGAGGAACTGTATCAATGTTCATGGCTATTTTTGGGTTATTGCTGTGTGCAAATTGACTGCCATGTTCACCTACTAAATAAGCAGTCACTACACTTTACTGTACATCCTTTGACCTTTCTGAGCTGTTTCAATATAAGATGATATATCAAATATCAGTTTATTATTACTTTATGTTCCTGGTTACCTTCTTATTTTGTATTAGTTTTCATTCGTATTGCACAGCCACATACTGCCTGCGGGCAAGAAGGTGGTGGAATTCCATTGTTTGGTCACTAAATCCACAACTGTTTGTAGGACACTGATGTGTGCAATTGGCTGCCGTATTTCACCCACAAAATATACAGTCAATTCACAGTATAATCTATGAACCACTTTGAGACGTCTCAAAGACGTGATAAGGTACTATATCAAATGCAAGCATTATTATTATAATTTCTACTTAAACCACCATATTTAACCATCTGAGTATCTATGTTCCAAGATCCCTCTGCTCTCCCCTCTATGTTAGGTACTTTCCTTCCCTAGTGTTAATTTTACAAAACCAAAACGTTCAATTTTTTAAGTGACCATGTGGCATCAAGAGCTCAAGAGTAAAACCACAGCCTGGAACCTTTTGTTCACAAATAAACACTCGTACAAAAGTAGTAATGAAAAAGCAGTTTGAACTTTAATTGGGATGTACTGTGTTAATAGTTTACATCTGATAATACACTGAGGAGTTAAATGCAGTACAATCTTAAAAGGTAAAAGTAATAGACTCAATTATTTGTACCCTGAATAAATTAGTGTCATCCTGCACCAGTAACAGACTTGTCCTAAATTGTTAAAAAAAAATATCAAAACAAGCACATCCTTTTCCCGTCTTTGCTGGGCAAATTGTTAAAAATAAACAATTTTTTTGTTTGTTTTCTTCCACATGAAACAAGTAGTTGGGTAATAATAGTATTACCAGAGTCGTTAAAGGTTCTGCAGTCCAGCACCAGTTTTGCTTGATATATAACCAGCTATATCAACTCGACCAGTGAAGGAAATGCAGTCAAGATATTACTTTCGTAAAGATACCATGGATAAAAGAAACGTAACAGGTATTTTTCCTCAAACTGCCTTCAACCAAATACAACAGTTTGACAAAAAGTTCTTGCAATAATTTATAGCATCTGACAGCAGTTCTAGGACGGTATTCTGCACTCCATCCCCTATTTTAGGCAGCTGTGGATAATACATGTAAAAGTTAACAAGTACACCAGCCCAGCTCAATATAAATATCAAAGCTCTGCCGCGCTTTGATACAATTAATGAACCAGAACTTTCTGTGGTTGCTTTTCAACAGGGAAAAAAAACATTACTCAGTAATTAAAAATCAGTAGCACTGTTAAATAAAGTGAAAAATGACTGTTCCATTAAAAAGCAGCAAAAAAAAATTAACATTTAGCAACCAGCACTTCAGCACAATTAAAAAAAAGTAAAAATCAAAGCAGACTCTATAGAAGACATCACTATTCCTAACTTGCTTTAGGAATTGCTTAAGAGTTAGTGCACGAGTACTCCAGTCAGTTAAATACAGTAAATGGAATATAAAAATTGCACACAGTTTGCTTAGGAATGATACAAGTTAACAAAAGAGAAAAAAAGAAAGGAAGAGCAAATTGGCCTCTACATGCTGGGTGGATGCCATGCTTTTTATCAGTGGAAGTAAGTGTCCAATTCAAGAGCACAAAGTGAACGATGACTCAAGAATATAACAACTTTTAACTGGGCAGATAAAGATACCATTTCCCAACAGAGCCTGAGCAAGTTTTCAAGCTTTATTTTAAATTAAGTTACTAGCACTGTTCAGCCATCAGTACCATTGGTTAGTAGGATAAACTCACACACAACAATGCTGCAATAGATTAAAGGAGGTCAGGTAAGTGGCTATAGACAGAGTCCAGGAGTTTCTGGCTGGCTTCCTGGCTCTTCCCTCCTGCAATCTCGAAGAGCTTGTCCAGTTTGTCTTCTGCATGGGGAATCTCTTCAATCACTCCCAACTCTTCCTGGTTAAGAATATGAAGCATGTCGTCAAACACGGGCTGCAGATCACAAGGATCCAAGCGTACCTGCCGTAAAATGGTGTCTTTCTTCTCTGCAGTTGAAAGCAAGAAAATGTGTTAGTATTGTTAAGTGATACACTATCTGATTTTTAAAAAATGTTCTGATGTGGAACACTTCAAACAATAATCCTTGTATTTGATATAGCTCCTTATCACATAATTGATACATATGAAAGCCTTCCACAGGTGTAAAGTGGAGTGACCGTGTATTTTGTGAGCAAAACATGGCAGCTAGTTTGCGTACAGCAAGGTTCCACAAATAGCCATGGAATGACTGGCCAATTTTCTTTTGGGGGATTGTTGGTGAAGTCATGGGAGAAGCTCTGTTCTTTTTTTGAACAGTAACATGGGATCTTTAACATCCACCTGATCGGGCAGATGGGTTTAAAGTCTCATCCGAAGAATGGGGTGTGCTTGGTGGCAGCTTTTATTTCACTATGGACTTCACTTTTGTCATTAATAATAATCTTTACATCTCATATAATGCCTTTCAGGTCAGGGTGACGTTTTAAAGCGTTTCATAGTATACGCTCTAGTGTAGTGACTGTTTTGTGGGCGAACAATAGTTTCAGCATTGAGAAATGTAAGAAGTACGTCAATTGCTGCCCATTGAGACTTGGTAACATAATTACTTGTGGAAGTTGGTGAGGAGAGCATTCAGCTCAGTATACCCCATCACCTTTTAAAATCAACAAATTGCTGACATTCACTGGTGAGGGGCGTACTGTAAAACTGAACTTTCGGAAGACACATTAGTAGGTGTCTTGTCTGTAGAGCCATATTCTGCTAGAAGGAAGAACAATATGGTTTGGGGAGAAAATTATAATTAAAAGTAAAAATCAAAAAATGCAATTTAACAAAAGCTGAAATTATCAGAAACATGATCCAGTGGGTACCAGTTTTACAATCCCGAACCTGGAACCTTCAAACTGTTTTGATTGTTCATATTAAGCAAATTAATTTAAACTATAACCAAGGAATGTGCTAAGCTAATAAAAGGTAAAAAAAAGTCTGCTTTTTAACCTTTGGAAATGAAGGACCCAGTTCTGCTGAGAACTGAAGACGAAGTGCTTGAAGTCGAGTCGCAGCGCAGAAGGGGCTCCGATTCATCAACAAAAAACACTTTTGTCTTCTCAGATGAAGATGGCTCAACCGTTGTGGTGGTGGTGCCGGCGATGATGGTGGTATTGACAGCGGTGGCAGAAATAGCAAGCTTTGGAGTGAGGCCATTTTTGCTGGTAAGAATAGGGATGAGCTTCTCAATATCCAGCTGGAAATAAAAGACAACATTTTCAGATTCACAATATTCTTCTACAGAATACAATTACTCAGAAATAAAATGATTCCAAATGTCAATACACGTCTATATCGGAAACCCATATTCTTTCAATAGTTAGAGAATACTTACAGCTTACAAATCAGAGAAGCTTTAAACATAATATCCTAAAGGAAAATGGCTAATTCATACACATCACAATTAGGGCATTTGCATCAGTTATGTTTCTGCTCCAATGCAATAAATATTCCCTTTGCTGGAGACCAAACCTTAATACTCTTCATTGAAATACAATGTTGTGAATAAAATACAATGAGGCAGATTGGCTAGATCATTGGTTAGAGTTTCTCTCGGTGTCTGTCTTATAGTAAGGACATCTTGTAGTAAGAACATCTTAGCATTGAAGGAACAGTTGTGGATCGAGTGATCGATTTATTTTTTAAAAAAAGGAATCATTACCCCCAGAAAAGCGATCCACCGATTGACTAACTATTGGGTTCCTACTTACTGCTAGGTAAACAGAGGCATGTGGAGTAAGCAAACTTGCCCAACGTTTCGTCCTGCCTGGGAATCAAACCCAGGTCTCTTGTTTGCAAGGCTCTAACCACTGAGCTACAGTATTTCAGCTTTCAATAGCTGGAATTAGAAGCCTAAGTTAAGAAGCCATAGCTTGGGAAGCTAGGAATTCACACGTGAAAAGGTGATTCAGGAAGCTCTTGAAATATTCACACCCTAAACGGTGTAAATAAAATGAATCATAATACATTTAACCAAGTAAAAAAAACACACCCACATCAATTCCTGCTTTGCACCACAAGCGTGAAGGGAGATTGTGGGTGATCTAATAAACTGGAATTCGTTCACTGTTTTCTTTAGTTGGGAACCATCCAGTGCAGGAAGAGAGTTAGTCAACGGTGCACATGTGCAATCAACTCACCATCATCCCTCATTTTAATGTGAGCTTGGATCTTATGGTTCCCAAACACTTTTTTCCAACGTAATGCATTTGTGCTCAAATCACAAATATGCATAACTTTAATCTGTAATCAGAACTGCTCCATCTTCATGTTTCAACAGCAAATCTTACAAAATGCCAGTGACAAAGCTTCACACTTGTCAGACTGTGGTGATCTCTCGGACAGCAATATTTGCCGCAACTCTGTCCCTTGATTGTAGATGTTCAAGCAGTTCAGCACTACTTGATGCATGAGGTTTGCTCAAGGCTCCACGCTTTCAGATACAATTTTCCATTTCTTTAAAATTCTTTTGGCAACTATCAGGGTGACTTTGAGACAGTTGATTCTTTCTGAAACTTTATATGAATACAAGACCTAAAAATCACTGTGCAGATTTTGTCACAAACTAAAAAAAACTAAATACGTGATGCATCTTTGCCCAGAAAAAAAACTATCCCTGTTAAGACCAGACTGCAGCATCTTCCAACACAGTGCTTGTTCCTCCACTTATTCACTGACTTAGGAGTGTCCAAACCATCACCACCAACAACAAATTACATTTGTGCAGCGCCTTTCACATCTTGAGGACGTCCCAAGGCGCTAGACAGTGTTGAACATATGTATTTTACAGGTTCCCTCTCGGCGATGTAATCCACAGACATGGGGTCAACTTCCACATGTATGCGGAAGACACCCAAATCTACTTCTCTTCCTGCTGCAACTCCCAGTCCACTGATGCCCTGTCAGCTTGTTTGACGGACATCAGGACCTAGATGTCAGCAAACGGAAGCCATACCTGTTTGGCTCCAGTCAACGTTTTCTCTCCTGCGGGTCTGAATTCCTCAACCTTTGTGGGCTCTTCCTCTAGACTCACCGAACCTGTGCGCAACTTAGGTGTCAGGTTCAATCCACAGCTTTCCTTTCTACCCAACAAAAACACTTTTTTCCACCTCAGTCACACTGCCTGCCTCCGTCCTTATCTCACAACTAACTCACACTCTGCTGGACTACTCAGTTTAAAGGGGAACCCGCTTGTCTCCCCCGAAGGTGATTAATTGATTAAGACCTTTGTACAACACATAGGGTAGAATTCTCAGAGTTGTACAAAAAAAATGCCATTCAGCCCATCATGACTTTGGCTAACAAAGAATGCTTTCTTATAAACTAGTATTTGGAGAATGAATCTTGACCTAAATAAAATACTATGCCAAGCATCAAATATTACTGGACTATCTCTGGTGGTGAAGGTGGCAGAATTAAGTTGAGATGAACTCAGTTGATATGCTATTAGTTTAAGCGTGATTTCCCCTACTCCAAAGCATGTTTGTATCACCATGCTCGACAAGTTGACAATGATTTATCAAAGCTTGACAAAGTGCCATGATTTCTTCACAAGAATTAAAGCTTCATCCATTGGATTCTCACTCATGAACTACAACATCAGCAATTTAGTATTTACAGCACTGTAGGATCAGAAATTTCCAGCCCAGATCCATTTTGAAAAAAAGGGTCTTTTTTTAAAAATCATGCAACAGTGAACCATACAGACAATGACAACAATTGTACTCAAAAAGCAGGAACCGGAGTAGACTATATGGCAAATCAAGCCTGTTGAATCATTTATTAGGGCATGACAACTCTTTATATTTGTAATTGCATTGCTCTGCTTGTTCACCATATCGCTGAAGACTATAACTTCCCCTATATCCCTTTTAAAACGTGTTAAGCTCTATCTCTGCAATTTTGGTTATCTGATCTTGGGCATCACATTCTTTTGTGAAAAGAATTGTAAAGAATACAATACTGTATTAAGTTTACATTATATTCAGTTTGTTTCAAATTTCTAAACTGCGCTGAATTAGTCAATGTGCAGCTGTATACTTTAACATTCCCAGCCTTTGCTTGGCCACTGTGCTTTGTTATGTCAATTTTTTACCACTAAATAGGTAGGTTATATTTATTAAGCACCAAATGAAGCTTATAGCATATGGGAGGGGCCATTTATACAACATGAAACTATACACAATTTATTAGTGGAAAAGCTCATCAACATTAGCACTTCATTCACATAAACAGTAAAGTACTTTTCAAATGAAACAAATGCAAAATGTTGAAAAGGGAATGTTGGGAGAAATTGGAACAGAATCTATGTTTGTATATATAGACGTGTGCTGTGATGATGAATTTGGCGTGGAATCACTACATAACGGACTCAAAATAACTATCACAGCTGCAGTCTGGTTGTCAATATAAAATGCAAAAGGCATCTGGTCAGCACAAAATAAACTACATAAAAAGTCAAGTAGCTATCATAAACAACAGCTGGCCTTTAAACTAATGCTAAAACCATCAGAACTAAGTGGAAAGTTAAATAGTCTCAAACTTAATTTGCTGATGTGCATAAAGAGTTATTCAGCTTGCCAAAGATCAGAGAATCATAAAATGGAAATACTAGAAAAGGAAGAACAGCAAGATAAATTCAATATTAGGCTATCAATTCTCATTTGAGCTAAAAACAAATTCTGAATCAGATTTGCTATTCAATTGTGCATGTGGGTGGATTGATTAGTTATCTGATGCTTGATGGAAGAACGTCATTGAAGGCAACACTGATGGCCCAGCACATAAAAGCCCTCCTCAGTGTGGCACTCAACGCTGCTGAGCACAAGTTCATAGCCCAATTCCTGTCTCCTGTGTTAGCCAAGCTGAGCTGGATACCAGGAAGGGTTCTCCCCCGCTCAGCATCAAACTCCACCATTGTTCAGCACATAAAGATGATACGCTGCATAAAGGGCACTATATAAACTTACTGTAATTTATGTGCACAGCTCTCAGAAGACATCAGGCTCAGGCACCATCAGACACTATCAGGACACCAGATAGGTCATGTGAACTCTCATGACTCAGCACTTTCAGGAGAAGTGAAGAAAATTGGCAAACAAAAAAACAAACATTTGAAGTGTCGGAAGGGTTTCACACCTCAAGTCTGATGGCAACTCATTGTGACCGAAAAGGGCAGAAATGGTTACCACAACAACTTGCACGTATATAGCGCCCTTCACGCGGGCAGCATGCCAGAAGGCTTAAGGAGTTGTGATGGATGTTATAGACTTGCCAATAATTGTAGCAATTTGATCTTTTACATGAATTACATTTTGCCACTTGTTCACAAGAAGTTAAATTGAACACTAAATCAATGAAGCATTCTCAAACCTTACATATGTAACCCGATGAAATGATTCAACACGCCTCAAAAATGGCTTCTAAATTTTTAACAGCTTTAAGATAAAATACGAATTGCTTTGTGTGATACCGCACATTGCTCCCCTCCATAACCTTTGAAGCACGCAAACCTCTTTAAAGAACAACATGACAAATGTGAAAGTGATATTTCAAAGTGAAGACCTACTGCTGTGCAACTGGCCGCCCAGGCCACAATCCTCATGATTATCCCACTTAGGCTACCTAGTTACTTCAAATAGTTCAGTGTCATTCCAATTGTGAGCTATATATGAACAAATATATTTATTGCAACAGTTTCTCACACGAGGGGACACTTCAATAAAGGGATTGGACAACTGCCCTAAAGAAATAGTGAACCGCGTAACAATGTTTCAACTTCCCACCAGATTCACTTGGCCGATGCAGTGCTAAGCAAAATCACAATTTTTACCCGCAGCCAAATGCATAATAAGGTCAGCAGGCAATGTTAAAACTTCAAACTTGGATTTTGATGTCTTCAATTAAACAGTGAAAACAATTGATTTCGGAGGGAGGATGATAAGGTCGAAACTCTGCCCGGCTTCATTATTAAGAATGACTATCGTACTCGGCTGAGGTCGTAAAAGCACCCGTAGCATCATACATCAATACACAATGTAGAAATCTCCATCCAAAAGAGTAAAAAAAATGAAAATGTACAGTATTAAAATAGGAAAGCTTCTATATCAGAACAAGAACAAAGGGCATTATGTATTCTTGAGAGATAATAATCTTTGCATTTGATGTAGTGTCTTATCACATCATTGAGGCATCTCA